GTGTGGCAATCACTTTAGGGCAAACAATATTCTTACCTCACCATTCCAAGCATCACACAGGATGCTTATGTTCCATGTAATAGTGTTTACATTACCTGACAACTGTTTATTTTTCAAGACACTGTGTAGAGCATGTGATAACCTCATATTCATAAAATGTTCCAGTAGAAATAAGAAAAAAATATTAATACATTATCTTAGTTAAGATTAAGCAAATTTTTAATGATCAAATGTTTTCCAAGTAAACAAATTCAGAATAGAATGTAGGACAGATGTTTCCTAAAGATTAACCATTATAATGATTTATCTAGTATAAACTTTATGTTATATATGCACAAAATATCTATAAGCATGCATAACTTTTTTTCCTCAAAAACACATTTTGTGGTAATATACTAAAACCATTTCAAGAAAATAGGTGAAGGTATCATAATAAACAGCATCATGCAGGTGTATATTTGCTCATTTGCCTGCATTTTATTTCAAATAAACTAGGATCAAATGTGCCTTTGTATCTCATGCAATTTATTCAATGATTTTGATTAATGCCAAATTATCTTGTGGTCTGTGACATGAAATGCACATAAATACATTAACAATACTTGTGTGAAAGGTTACTCTGGTATATTTCTATAGGTTTTACACTACAGCCAATACCATCTGTTCAGTTAAACTGTTAATGAGATATTGTCATACCAAATTGGTAATAAGTGCATACTTGATTACCACAAGCATAATTTACCAGAACAAAGTCAGAAATTGTCATACCAAATATTCTTAATAGCAAGCTAATCAACTATCATATTAAGCTGAAAGAATGAGGAAAGATTCACAACTTCCCCAATGTTACTTTTTGCCAATATTCATTAATAATTTGCTTTAGTTATTAGCTTGTCTTCTTTTTTTATTACTGTTGTTTCATCTATTATTATAATTAATTACTTATTAATACTGTTATTGATTCAACAATTTTTGTTTGTTTCAATTTATGCTGGAACTATAATATGTTAACTGCAATGAACCAATAGGCAAAAAATTTTGAGCACCATTTTCTCTTTTCAAAATCACAATCATACAGAAACAGACTTAGGACAGAATAAATAACCAATTGTTAACTGCAATTTATATTGTGTTTGACTGCTACAATAAAATAATTGCAGTGATTGTTCTAGATAAACAAATAACTGGAAATATCCGAGAATGTTCAACTGTTAAAATAAACAAATTATGATAATCAGAAACCTGCAAAACCTTATTGAAAAATGCATCACCAATTTGTATACTTGATACAAAATACCGAGAGTTTACTAGTATTACTTCATTTAATCTAGAGCCAGATTGTATCAAATATTCCTAGTAAGTGTACAAGCATAAAATTACAATTACAGAGGGCCCTGACCATTTGTTAATCTGGTCATGTCTTAAACAATATTCAGATAAAGAAAGGCTCTTTTCAAGCCTTGTAAATAAACAAATAATCTAATGGCCATTTACTTCTCTGTATATAATTTTCATGTCAACAAGTCAGAAATATCTATTCATCTCTATACATCCCTTATATCACCTGAAGGTTATCTTTGTAATATATTAATATAATGATTTAAATATCTATACAATTTAATCATTTCTCTAAGGATTGATGCAAACATAAACCAATCATTGACAATATTCAAGGACCATGTAGACAGACATAAACACATTATGTCTTGAACATAAAAGTTATCTGTCAAACAAAATGCAAAAAACAAATTTGTCATTAGCCCTTTACAAGCAATTTCATATCATAAATAATAACAAGCTGGAGACTATTATAAAAGATGACTATAAGCAATTATAAGTATAAGCAACTACAGTAGAACTTCTTTGAGTGGAACTTCGATTACTAGTAGTTGAATGTCTGGATATGTCAAAGTAATTTTCCTCCCTGTATGTTCCTTATAAAAAACCTATATACCAGTTAAAAATTGTATGTGTCAAATTTTTTGATGCATCAAAGTTTTTTCATGGTCCGTATAGAATAAAACGGGTACAACTTACCACAAATAAGTCAAAGTCCTTCGATAAGTTTGAATCTCAAGACATTTTCCACACCTTTCTGGCAGCAAATGATTTCGATCAATTTGTGTGACAGGTGATAATTACACAGCTGTGTGTTCTAACAGCCTTTATATGCAATTAAGTGTTTGATAAAATGTTTTAATTGTTACCATTCAAATTGCCGTAGTGGTATTTGAAAGTAAATAGTAAGAACTACTTTCATTTGAGAACTTCCGTCATCCTGTGTCACGTGATAATCACAAGGGGATAAATTTACTATAAGCTGGTTTAGTTATTGCCCTTTCCTTTTGTTATGCCTTTTGAAAATTGCTTTGTACACGTCAATAGCTTGAAATTTTGTCATCAACTTGAAACCTATTCATGACTTCAAGTCCTAATGTGTTGAAGTTTTTACAAGTCCGATCGACCTTAACCGAAGTTCTCATTATTAAGTATGCAGCATAAATAACAAGCACACTAAACAAAATCTAAAATTGTAAAGAGATCTCATGTAATTATTACTTCTGAGAAGTAAAGTAATCACAATTCTTGTCAAATGAGTTGACCTTGAGACGTTGAGGCCCCCCAGTAAGCCTGAAAAGAATGTTAAGTGATTTTTCAAAAGTTTATAAGGCTTTGTTGTTTCTGTTAAGCAGTTGTGCGAAAAATTGGCTAACCTAGCTGCTGAAAGATATTTGGTAACAATTTGATTGTAATTATTTGTGCCAAAAAGAGTTTCATAGAAAGTCATTTTGTGACTCAAGTCAGCAAAATTAGACTCATAGAAAGAGATTACAATTTACTTTGACATGAACTTAAGGACACAAAACTGTCATAAAGAGGTGATTACATTTACTTTTGACATGAAACTTACGGACATAAACTGTCATAAAGAGGTGATTACAATTACTTTTGACATGAGACTTATTGACATTAAACTATCATAAATAAGTGCTTACATTTACTTTTGACATGAGACTTATTGACATGAAAATGTTACAGAGAGGTGATTACAATTATTTCTGACATGAGACTTAATGACATGAAACTGTCATAAAACAGGTGATTACAATTACTTGTGACATGAGACTTATTGACATGAAACTATCATCTTGTTAAAAAAAATAATCTGTCAATAACAATGAAATGCCACGAAAATTCATGGAAATTGTGCCTAACTATAGTAAATAAAAATTCCCACGGTATCTGTTTACATTAACTATAGGTTTGATTGCATTTTTGATGACCCATCATCTGCGTATTTGTCTGTATGTTTAAGTGTCAGCGTGGGTGGTTTTTTTTTGTTAGTTTGTTGTTTTGTGTTATGATTTTTTCGACATGTTGACAGAAGAACTATGGACATTGTTGGTAGAATGATTTATTATTCTGTGCCGCGGAAAGCTATGGCTTCTTGTACGCTTAGAAGTGATAATCTGAGCTACTAGATAGTGGATGGGATCTGAACCCAACAGTATGGTTAAGATTTTAGATAAGAGTCGGTCATGTTTGGTTTAGCCTGTTCTTAACGGCTGAGTTTGACGCAATAAAGAGAGTATGTGTGTTGTTATTGGTAAAGATGCTTACAGTGTTAGATTTGACGCATTGAGAGGACTTATTGAAGAATTGAAACTGTCATAAACGAGGTGATTACAATTACTTGTGACATGAGACTTAATGACATGAAACTATCATTAAGATGTGCTTATATACTTTTGACATGAGACTTAATGACATGAAACTGTCAAAAAGAAATGCTCACATTTATTTAATGACATGAAACTATCATAAAATAGGTGATTACAATTACTTGTGACATGAGACTGTCCGAGGAGCGTTAATGATCATAAAAAAGGTGTACTGAATTGACTATTTATAGACTAAGTTATTTAAACATTCCAGGCTCAAACTCAAAATTGCAAACTGACTTAAAAATGATAAGAAGTTGAGTCATATGTTTTGGCAACAAAAGTCAGCAAAGAGAAATGAAGTGTGGAACCTCACTAACTTAAAACAACAGAATGCTTTCAAATAGTAAGGAGCTAAAAAAATAAAAAATAATATCCAAAGCCATACTTTATATTGACAGAAGCTGTTGACAGAGATTGGTGATTATTTATTTTTCACATACACTGACAACAGCTGTTGACAGATATGGTGATTTAAGCTTTGTATCTTCTGCTTCATTGTAGGATTCATCACTGATTTAGATAGATCATTCTTCATTGATATTACATGGTAATTCCCTGTCTAAACTAAATTGATTGAGACTTCTCACCCCAATTTTTTTCCTCTCAAAGTGTTCAATGTCTGATAATCTAACTGAGAAAGAAAACAACACTAGAAGTGTTGATATTTCAATTTGGAAACAAAGAGATTCCTCTAGAGAAATGAAAACAAAACATGATGTTGAAAAGTGCAGACATTATTTCATTGAGTGTGTTCTATGAACTGTAATGGAACCACTGCCCAAACAAAAACTGCACTTCAGCAGTTTTTTCAATTCTCACATTTAAATGTGTTGCACTCAATTATTCTTTACTTAATGTCCAAAAGTCAGGATAAATATCCCTTAACCAAAACAGAATTCCTCAAGATTCATGCTAATTTCTATGAAAATTTTAAAAATGTATTTAAAAGTAAAATATAGTAGAGTGAATTAAAAAAAATAACTTTCACATTGCAAACGGCACTTTTAATCCGATGAGATCAAAAATATGCAGTATATTCCCTTACTGGATAAGTCATGCAGTAGAAATATGAAGCACACAACATGTAAATTATTACATGAATTTTTGAATATTTTTCTTTTCTTGAAAGCTGAGCTCATTTTATTCATGCTTGATTTTCTTAAAATAATTTGGCTCATCTGGAGGCTTTTAAAAGCAAATTAAATAATTACTGAAAACATTAAATAACTTCTGCAAATTTTTTTTTCTTTTATGATTGACAATAAAGTGACTAACCTGCATTCTGATATAAAACCTTCATTATCTGTTATTCTATTTCACAATTCTGTTTGTCTGGGCAAAAAAGTTCAAACTTAAAGATCCCACTCATATTTCAAGCTAAAATATTGAAAATTAGCTTCCTTTCTCAAATGTTTTTTCACACTGATTACAAACTCAAATGTTTTTTTTCACACTGATTACTAAACTGCACTAGTATATAATAATATGAGTACATTAAAGTGTTATAATTGTACCATAAACATATGTATCATGTAAATGTAGCCTGCAGCATCAGCTATATATTATCTGATGTATAATATCATTACATTACTAGTGGATGTACCAGCACATACCATATCTGTAACCATCACATATTTATCTATTTACATATCATATCATATTTTCTTATTATATTCTTATTACACCTTTACTCTGTTGGCCAGCCCTCTGTTCTACCTCTGTGACCAGTGCAGCCGGGTCTTAAACATGTGTCACAAAGTGAAAGTACATTTGTAAAATATTGCATTATATTTTCACGCCGAACCTCATTTTTACTCTATATTCATTGATGTGAGATTGCATCATCTTTTGTTTAATTTAGAGTTTTCGGGTGAAATTATTATTTAGAGTATTTTTATGGTTTGCATAAATTTCCATGTCTCAATTTAAACATTTTGCCGTTTATTTCACAAAAATCCTTTCAGTAATAAGAAAGTTACATTTTTGTTTTATAAACCAGATATATGTATTATGTCTGTATTTGAAAGACGGGCCTTTATTTTACATAACTATTTTTCCCGCCGTCCCAGCTTTATTTCGTGCAAATCGATTTTTTCATGTTTTGCACGATCTGTTTTCCCGCTTAGTACTCAGTAGTTTGCTATATATTGACTAAATTTTAAGTGACATATTGCAATGCACTGGACGTTATACAGGTCCACTATGACGGTGACAGACAAATTTTATTTGTCATAAAATTACAGCTTGTACAAGGTAAATTTAATTTTCTAGTGATTTTGGTTTCATAAATTTTTTGCTATTTCGTTAAATACTATTTTCTATTAGAAATTATAGTTTATTTGATTCAGGTTTAGTTATTTGGCAGTAATTTATTGTTTTCTGAATTTGCTAAATTTTTGCAGATTAAATTTTAAAAGCTCTTTTTATTCTAGTGTTTCGCTATTGCAAATTTTATTAACAATTAAAAGTTAAATTTAGTTTACTTAAAGGTAGTTAAATTTTGTATCACTTTTAATTATTTTCTTTTTTTTTATATTTCGTGTGATTATAATTTCTTAACATTTTCAGATTGATACCGTGACAAATGAAACGGACTTGTGTGTGTGACAGCTATCCAGCTGAGAGGTTATAACAGCCACACAGACCCGACAGTGGACCGTTTGACGTTAGGGGTGAGTTCGGTCCAATTTTTCTTCCTTTTGGTGTCACTTTATGATGAGACCACCAGTTTTGTAATCTGAAAGTGACCTTTCGGTAAAAACACCGGAGTACACATATACAACACATACACTCTGCAATTTAAGGTCACCCGCCTTGTGTATTTTTCTAGATAAAGAAACTGTTCTTTTATTTAGGAAAACATTTAATTTTTGTGCTTTTAAAATTTTTACTTGGTTTTTTTGTGTCTGTAGTATTTTGAAACGGGCCTATCCCTTTTATTTTTTGCATTGGGTAAGTGTACGGACATTGGTTTTTGGGTTTTATTTTGGATTTAAATTTAAAGTATTTTAAACGTTTTAATTATTGCCTACTTCTACTGTAAATTAAAAAATTATTATTTAACAACCTTAGTGAGATATTTAGATGAGTTTAAAACTAGTGTTGTGGGTAGGTATGGTTTAAAAATATGAAATTTTTTTTTTGATGTGTAAGTGAAGTACTTTTTGTTATAGGCTAAGGAAAATGGTTAATTAATGGTTTTTCATGAAGTGTAGTGTTTAGGCACCGTGTTTTGTACAAATGAATATTTTTTTTTTTAAAGGGTTTAGTGTTCCCCCTTTAAGATACTTTGTTTCATTGTTTACCTCCGGTAAAATTTTCTTGTTTAAAGTTGTTTTTTGTTGGTTACGTGGGGAAAAAAATTTAAAAATTTCAAATGACTAGTGTAAATATTGATAAAGGTAGGCAGGATTTGGGTAAAGTGGGTTTTTGGGAAAAACTTTTTAAAGAGGACAACCGGGACGGAAGAAGACATAGTGGGTTAGAAGCTGAGAAGGATGGTAGAATTAGAACAGGTTCAAAAGGAATTAGAAGGGAAAAGGAACTTTAGAAGGGGGAAAGGGATAGGTTAAAATTTAAAACAGGTTTTAGAAAAAAGAAAAGTTAGATTATAAATTTCCAGTTTTCTAAGGAAAGTTAGAAAATAGAGATAGGAATGGAAAGGAGAGAAGTTAAGTAATTGAGGCTAGTGTTGCAAAAGGGAGAAGTTAGATTATGCTGTCAGTTAGAAAAGAGAGAAGGAGGAAGCAGAAGCTAGGAAGTTAGATACAGAATATAAGATGAAAGATAGAGTTAGATTATGTTTAGGTAAATGAAGAGTGTAGGGTAAGGTTAAGGTTAAGATGACTCCATTTGACGAAAAGATTGATTCCTATGGATGCGTATTTGAATGTTTATTTGAAACTTATGCGTCTGCTCAGAATTCGGGAACATGAAAATGTGGTCACTAAACTTACCGTTTCTGTTTAAAAGGTACTGCTAGGGAGGTATTTGATAGGCTTCCATTAGAAGATAGGGATGGATTATGATAAGCTGAAAGATGCCTTTGTTAAGGCAGTTTGAGTTGACTTGATGATGGGTATAAGAAGAAGTTTAGGACTGAAAGGCCCCGTGAAAATCGAGACTTTTGTGATGTTCCTAGCTAGAATTTCTAGATACTTAGATGGTTGGCTAAGATTGAGTAAGGTGGAGAAGACTTATGAAAAGTTGTTAGACTTCATAATAAGGGATCAATTTTTAGATATCTGCAATAGAGAACTATATCAGAACCTCAGTAGTAAGAAGTTGTTTTCAGCCCGTGAAAGTAGCGGAAGATGCAGATTTGTTTGCCAAGACTAGAGGAGGTCCGAAGTATGTAGTGAATCATGGAATTAAAGAAAGAGCTAAGCCTTATGCACTGCCGAGTAGACCTGTAGATAGAAATCAAGGTAGTAGTTATCGTATGCAAAGAGGGTAACGATAGACTGGTAAATAGAGGTAGAGCATCTCAGCAGTATTGAAGGTTATAAAATGCACATGTTGTGGTCGTTTAGGGCATACAGCATTTTTCTGTAGAAATAAGGCTACAAATAAAGCTCGCGGGGGAAAAAACATAAACCCCAAATAAATGAACCCAAAGTAAGAAGATAATATTATAAAGGTAATAAAAAGGCGAGGGGGTTTATAGAGGTGGGAGTAGGGTAAGGAAGAAATAAGATGAATTTCGAAATTTCGATGCGAGACAGATAGTGGTATATTTTGATAAATTGGGGGTTTTTAAAGACGTGGTACATTTTCTAAAATTCATGTCCAACTAAGGAAATTTAAAGGGAAATTTTTATATTTGCAAAAGTATGGGTGTACATTTTTAAGAGAAAAATTTTGGGGAAAAAAAGAAAAATATTTAGGGAAGTCCAGACGATGAAAGTACTTTGTGGTATGACCAATTAAAGGCGTTAATTGATCTTGATTCCGTTTTACGGGGGACTGTAGAAGCAAAAATGTGTAGTAATCCTAAAATGATGAAATTTATCGGTAAAAAGGGGGTGCGTAGACAAATTTTTGGTAAGTTAGTTTCAGCAGTAGAAAAAAAGATCGCAGAGAAAATTTAAAGCCAAGGATTTTAAAGTTCCTCACAGATTTAGACATAAAAAATGTAGAGTTTTAGAGAAGCAGCAGGCAATAGTTCTTAATGGATGTAGAAGAAACAGAGGAAGGAAACTTAGAAACTTGAAGGGGGAAAAGGGGAAAAGGAATTTCAGGTAAATAATTTTTTAGGATTTTACGCGGGAAAGGGTGACGAAAGTGGGCTTAATTTCCTAAAATCTTGGGAACGGTTAAAAGAGGCGAAACTCGTTTTTGGCAGGAATCTTGTATTAGGAAAAAGTGATAAGTCTTGGGGGGTTTTTATGCCGGTGTTTTTGTAGGGGTTGCGATTTTTGTCAGTCTTGAAAATATTTGCTCAACGTACTATTTCTAAAGGTAGAATAAGTAAGGTAACTTTAGGTAAGATGCCTTTGATTGATACTCCATTTAAGAGAGTTGCCGTTGACATTGTTGGGTCCGATCGAACCTATGACTGATAGGAAGAACCGATATATTTGACCATGGTAGACTATGCTACCAGATATCCTGAAGCAATTGCATTGCCTAGTATAGAGACTGAAAGAGTAGCCGAAGCATTAGTTGACATGTATAGTAGATTAGGTGTTTCCAGAGGAAATGCTTACAGATTGTGGATCACAATTTACTTCACAGATTATGAATGAGGTTAGTAGGTTGCTATCTCTTAGACAGTTAACAACTACACCGTATCATCCGATGTGTAATGGTTTAGTGGAGAAATTTAATGGTAGTTTAAAACAGATGTTGAAACGGATGTGTAGTGAAAAACCTACAGATTGGGATAAGTATTTGAATGCTATGTTGTTTGCGTATCGGGAAGTTCCCACAAGGAAATTTGGATTCCGCCATTTGAATTTTTTTATAGGGCGTAGTAAAGAGGCCTATTACCTTTTTAGAGAGTTTTTGGAGGAAAAAAAAGAAACAAGTTAAGACAACTTTTTCAGATTATTATTTTCAAAAAATAGAAAGTAATGTAAAATACACGCAATTTGAGAAAACAGTAAGGTAAGAAAGTTTAAAAACCGGAAACTAGAGATAGAATTTTAAGAAGGGAAAAAAGACTTTCAACCACAAAACCAATAAATTTTTTGTTCAATGGAAAGGTCCCTTTGTATTTCCGAGGTGTGAAAAAATTAAGATTACGGTGACATAGGGAACAATAAGATCAAAACTTTTTCCATGCCCAAAAGCTGAAGGGTATGTTGAAAGAAAAATTTGAACCCGAGAGGTGCATTTGGAAAGGGAATGCAGCTGTTGTAGAAGCGGAAAATGGGTATGAAGATTAGAGGAAGATGTTAGTTTAGAAACAAGTTACCAAAGATGATAGTGACATATT